TTTATAGGGTATATAAAGAAAAACCTAGGTTATATTCTTTTTTTAAATTCGATCTTTATATCTTAACTATTATATTTTAATAATCCTATTTTTTTAAGTTCTATAAATAGTTTTATATATTTTTAATACTCTTTAAATATAATTTAGAGTTATTTTAATTTTTAATTATTTATACTAAATACGAACTTCCTAGAGCTTTTTATTATTTTAATAAAAGCTATATATTATATTTTTTTTTTTTTTAAAAGTTACGAGAAATTTATTTAAACCCTTTTTTTTAAGTCGTTTAGTAATTAAATTTACCTATTAAACCTAACTAGTAATCTAATTTATTTATAGGTTATATTTTCGTAACTACGAGATTCCTAGGATAATATCGATATTTTTAATCTCTATAATATTATATTATAATTAATCCTTATAATTATTAATATATATTAAGAGGTATATAGTCTTTTAATTAATATATTTATTATTATAATTAACTCTTTTTCTTTTTATTATTTATAATTAGTATAAGTTATTTTTTTATATTTATAATAGGTCGAGTTTATTTATTATTTTTAATAATATAAAACTTTTTTATATACCGTTATTAATTATAGTATATAGTAGTTATTTATATATAATAAGTTTAATTAATAAGTATATATCGTATTATTATTTAATTATATATAAGAACTTATTTTTGATATTCGCTTTTCGTTATTCTTTTATAATTAGTTTTCTTAGTTTTTTAATATTTTATTCCTTAGTTATTTTTCTTATTCTGTTTATTCTTATTATTCTCTCTAGGCTTATATTTTAGGGATATAATAGATTTAGTACTAGTTATGTTTATAATTAGTCTATATTATATTATTATTATTTTAATATTATATAGGGAAATTTAAATTTAATCTAAATATTATTTTATAAATCTTATTAAAATATATAATTATTTAGTTTAATAACTAGTTATTAATATAGACGTCCTTAATAAGTTAGTTATTACGTTTTTATAAGTAGAAGTAACTATCTTTTTTAAATAAGAGGTATTAAAAGTATTTATTATTTAAGTACTCTACTTAAAATAATTCCTTATAAAATATATTCTTAATATTAAGTAAGGAGTTATCTTTTTTTATTTAGGGTATTATAAAAACTTTTTTAGGTTCTATTATTTTATAGAATTATAATATTTATTTATTATTAAATAGGTTAATATTTTTATATTAGTTTTTATTAAAATCTTTTTTAGAGCTAGTATTATTAATACTAAAATAAGATCCGTAACTAATTTTTATTTAAATATGTTATTAAATAACGTTACGGGGTTTATTTAAGTTATATAATAATTTTTTATTAAAAATAAGTTTATTAGGGCCCGCGTAGGGTTCTTTATTAAATTAGAAATTATTTTTTCTTTTAATTTTTTTAAAATTAAGGTCTAATTTCTTAATTATTTTAATTTTATTTTTATATAATAGGTCTTTAAGCTATTTTTTAATTTTATAAATAAATTTTTTATTACTATCCTCTCGTTTTATTATATAAATAAACTTAGTTAGGACTTTTTTTAAGTCGGGTTTTTTAAGCCTAAGGGGTCGTTTTTATTTACTATTTTACTATACTATATAGACGAGGTTATTTATAATTTCTTTTTTAATTATAATAGCTAGTATTTTAATTAATAAAGTAGTACCGTATTTTAGTTATCTATTATTCTTAGGTTTTTTTAAATATTATCTAGTTTATTCTTTATTATTTTAGTAAGTAAAATAGTTATTATTATAGTAGGCTATCTATAAAAGTTGTCCGTAGGGGACTTTTTTATTTATAATATTAATTTATTTCTTTAGAATAAGTTAGTATTAGATATACTTAGGTTATTAGTAGTTTTTAGTTATATATCCTAATTTATTATAATTATAATATTTAAAGTTTTTTTTTAGGCAGTTATTTTTTTTTTAATAATATTAAAGTTTATAGGACTATTATATTATCTATAAATAGTACTCTAGTAATTACTATTTTAGTTATTATAAGGTTTTTAATTTATTTAAAAGCTATGCTAGGGTTATTATTAGTACTTATATTTTATATTAAGTCGTTTTTTTTTTTTTTATATTTATAAAATTAGTTATTAATTTTAATAGCGAGTTCGCTATATTAAAAGAAGTTATTTAGTTTATTAAGTTTAACTAGTTTATCTTTAACTTTGTCCTTTAATTTTTAATAAAATATAAATATTTTAGTATTATTAATAAGGTCTAGTTAAGTATTAAGATATTAAAATTTAGTAAAGTATTCTTTTATTAATTTAGTTTATTATAGTTATATTAAGTTATGCTTAGTTTATTATTTTTTATTAAAATTTTAAAATAAGGACTTAAGAGCTTTTTTAAATTTATTAAAATTATAATAAATATTATATATTTTAATAAAATACTTATTAAAAGTTTTTTTATTAAAGTATTCTTTTTAAATAAGTTTAAATTATTTAAGGGCTCGTTTCCTAAAAAAGCTAGTAATATATATAACTTTTTTAGTTTCGTTAATAAAATCTTTATAATAAAAGTTCTAATAGTTCTTAATTTAAATTAGAAATTTTTTAAAAGTACTTAGGGTATTATTATAAATAATAAGTATACTAAGTTTAAGCTTTTATCGTCCTTTTTAAAAAAGGGTATTAATAATATTAATAACGGCTTAAAGGGTATTAATTTTTCTCTAAAAAACTTAAATATTAATACTTATTTTTTATTCTCTAAGTTAAATAACTTTATTTTTTAGGGCCTAAATACGCTAAGGTTTATTTCTAAACTATTAAAATATAATTTTAAAGTTTTAGAGCTTATTTATAATTTTGTTATATATAATTTATATTTTAATAATATTTACGTCTCTTTTTTTAATTTTTTCTTAGAGTTATTTATAAGTTTCTTTTTTAAAAATAACCTTATTATTAGAATTAATATTTATAAGGGCTATTTTTATTTTTTTAGCTAAGTTTTAAATAGGTTATTTAAAAAAAATAAAAGAGCTTAAAATAAGTAATTTAATTAAAGTATAAAAAAATATTGTTCGTACTATTTAATTAGTTTTTTATAAAATAAACTTATTAAATAAGAGTAATTAAAATATTATAACTAGCTAGTTATAATAAGTATATTAATAAAAGTTAAGATTATAATAACTAAATAAATAATATCGTAATTATAAATAGCTTTTTTAAAACTATATTTATAAATTATAAAATAAATAAGGCTTTAATAATTAATCGTAGTTTTATTAAAAAGGGTTCTTAATAAAAATAATTAAAAATAATTATAAGATCTAATATTAAATTAATTATTAAAAAAGCTATAAGAAGTTTATTCTTAAGCTTAATTTAAATCTATATTATATATAAGTCTTATTTATAAATATATTTTTATAATATTACTATTTATAATTACTTAACTATTTATTAAACGGTCGTCCGTTTTATTTATATATAATTATCTATTTTATTTTTTTATAAATATCTATTTTTTATTTTATTATATAATTATAATTACGTAACTTATTTATAGTTTTTTTATTCTAAGAGGAGTTATTTTAAGTTCGTTCTTTTTATATATATAGTATAGTAGCCGCTATAGGTCTTATAGAGCGCCCCCTAGCCTTATTATATTTATTAGGTCGTAATATATATAAGTATATTAACGTATTTAATACGTTAATAATAAAAGGTTAATTTAGGGATTTTAAAAATAAAAATAGCTTTTTATATAAATATTTTTAAGTATTTTTTAATAGTTTAAAAGTAAAAATAATTCGGTTTTTATTTAAAAAAGATTATATATTTATATATATAAAAAGTATTTTAAGAATAAAAAGAGTAAAATTATGAGGACGTGCGTCGTTCGTTATAATACGTTACTTGCTATATAAGTACGTTATATAAAAATATTATTAAAATTATAATAGTTTTATATTATTTATATAAGTATTATATATATATATATATATCCTACGTAATGATTTAGTATATTAGTATGGCCTATACTAAACTAAACTAAACTAATTTCTTACCCTGCTATAGGTTAGTAGGTATTTAGACTACCTGAAGGATAACGGAAGGAGGTGGCCAGTGCAGCCAATGAACGCGCCTCAGAAGCCTGGGTTCATAACAATGTAGGCCTGTAACAATGCAGGTATCGCTATGAGCTCACGTTTCCCCATAACCATATTTCTTTCTAAATGACGGCCAGCAAAAGTTAAGGCAAACCACTACTTCAATAAACACATGCCCAACCATTGGAGTGTTACACGCGGGGCCTTCAGGCATCAAAACAACATGTGATAACCTCACGTGTTATGCCGACGGTCCGGTCTAATGCTCTAAACAACTGCAGTGCCTACTTACCTTACCGCTACGTATAGCTATGGCACTCACATAGGCACAGGTATCAAGCTGTGATGGGATGAACAAAGTAGCCGTAGGAAGGCTTTAGTCGCCTACGGCGCCCATTTGTCGTTTCCCCATCTCGTCTTCCAACTGCAATGCCCGTGCTTTGATCCCCTGCATAGCTGAATCCCTACCCGCTGCATATTATCATTCCGAGCGTGGCAGTATTTTCTTGGAATATCCTCGATTCCTGAGCATGATCGGCTTCTATTGTTGGCCCTATGGCATAGACGACTGTGAACTTGCAAAACGTGCTTTTCTTATTGAGGCATTTCAGTCAATCCCCGTATCTCGGCTTCTGCAAATGCAACCAAAGCCGGGTGTGTAGTATGCAGCACCCGTCCTCCCGTTCCGTACTACAAACACCTTGCTATCTTCTTGGAGAGTCTAAGTTGAAGGTGATGGGTTCGAATAACAGAAAGCCCATAGCCATACCCCACAGGGGGACCCTGCTGACCTTTCACCTTCGAGCTGTAGTTCGGTGAGTGTAAGGTTACCTGGGCTATCCACATGGCTTCATTGTCTCGTCTGCCGTCAGTCTCAGTGAAGACAGTTGACACTTACTTCATTCAGCCTCATCACTGCTGTCACCAAAGATCGATTTGAAGACATCGTTGCTTGGTCGCGAGACCTCGCCGGCCTCGCTTTCGAGCTTTGAGATGTCGGCGGTCGGCTTCGACAACTGCTTCGCCACGTCGGAACCCAGCATCTCATCCACATCTGAGTTTGTTCCACGGCTAAGTGGTTCGTGGGGTGTGACCTCACTGGCAGGCACTCCGCAGGATGTCTTATGAGGCTCTGGTGGAGTTGCTGCATCCGAATCTCGCGAATGAGGGGGGGGTCGAACATTGAACCGCTTGCACAGTAATCTGGTTGGAAAAAAGTCTGCAGTCAGCCTCGTCATGCGCCCATACATTCCCATCTTGGCGGCCGTTTCAATAGGATCTGCCTGCCCAACTAGCCCCTGGACCTGCTGCGCATTGCGAGGAGAGCCTACGTCTGCGCACTCCTTGGACCCAGTCGAAGCTGTCGTGAATCGTGTTGCCATAAAGCCCGTCATTGGCTTGAATAGCCGAGCACACCCGTAAAACTCTTCGATTTCCTTGACATAGTCATCTTCCGTCATGCCTGAAGGCTTGAGAGGAGCCGAACCCCCGAATCCCGCGGCATCCTGTAGGTAGAGTCGATATCTTGTCTGCTTGGCCTCGTTGTTTGCATATGGCCCTCCTGTGCCTGATCCTCGACTCATTGCGGCAATGGCCGTTTCTTTGGTCAAGACAGGTATGCTTCCTAGCCTATCTTGTAGCTTTTGCTCTGCCGTGCGCGCATGCTCTGCGGGAATTTCGCCTTTGGCAGGGGGAAGATTTGTTCTTCCAGTGGCCGCAGCCACTCGCTCGCGAGCAGCGGACGACATGTAGTCAAAGATCGATTTGCCAGGCAATGTCGACTCACCCAGGAGCAATGCGCGAGATCTAGGGTCATGTTGAGCCGTCTTGGCAGCGTCTGCTGTAGAGACGTATGCTGCTGTTGCGTTCCCGCCGACAGGGCGCTTCGTTGATCTCCAGTGATTGGGTACGGTTGGCGGATGATATGACACCGCGGGTTGTCCAGTTAGGCGAGATTCCATACTTTGGCCAAAAGCGAATCCCTTAAGCGGCAGCTTCCCGTCGAGACATCGTGTCTGGCCATAGGCCTTTGCTGACGAGGATTTGGCGATGAAGACTGGTTTCGACCTCACTGTAGGGTTCGCAGACAGACTGGCTGGCTGCTTCTTCTTCTTCCTGCCTTTGTCTCCTCCAAGGACTCGATTGTATGATATTCGTGGCCCAATATCGTACGGATCTTCGTCATCTGAGCCGGTGTCATTCAGTATGCCTACGCCCAAGCCCCCACGTGGCGCTGCCTGGCCTTGCTTTCCTATATTGCGTGAGATGCCGAGTGCGGATTGGAGACTATCTGAGAATTCCTTCTCGTTGTTCGCCCCGTTTTCCATGTCGAACTGATCTCGATTCGTCCGTATGATGCCTGGACCAGACAGCTGTGCGAGTTTTTGCTCTCCTGTGAAACCTAAGCCTTGGCGGTTTCGCTTGTGGTCGAGCTCTATCATGTTGACATCATCTGGAGCGAACAGGTGAATGCTTCCAGTGGCTGCATTTTGAGTGCTGGTCATGACATCTAGACGAGCGCTCCGCCGTACTTTGGGGCCAATGCCCTGCCCGTCCTTCCAACCCATCTTCCTTAGAAGCTTAAGGCCCATGGTATCGCCAGAAGCTTTCGCCAAACCAGTGAAATCGCCGGCGTGATGCATAATGTGACTGGAAGCGCCGAGGGCAGAAAATGGATCAGTTGTCTGGATGTTCTGAGTGGCAGCAGCATCTGCGAGATCCTCTTCGTCCATGTAATCCTCTGGGCGTTGTTGGCTCGTACGTGGCTCGGTTTTTCGACGGTTGGTGCGACTTGAGACAAACGTAGACGGCGTCCATCCTTCTTTGGAGCCGACGGTGTTGAAGTATCTGGGTTTCTTTCATCAGCCAAGTGATTGCTGAGTTTGATTCGTTTGCTGGAGGTTCTGTGGGAGACGAACCCTGCGCTCCATCCACCTGTAAAAGCGCCGTGAAGACGTCGCCTTCCGTGTTCATCCCTTACTTCCTGCTTATGTACTGGGATATAAGTGCCATCATCGCGCACTTCCGGGTCGAGTGGCGGGAGAGGGGTGCCAAAGGCGACGTGTACGGCGGCTTCATCGTGCAAGTCAGCCTCGTAAGTAGCATGCGACCTCTTGCTACGCGACATGTAATAACGACGGCGAACAACTGTGCAGGCTTTTGTAGCTAGTGAGCGCGTCACTGCTTACATTCACTTGGGCGAATCGAGCGGGCGCCTGCGCGAAGGTACGTCAGGTCTGCGGTGGGATAAAAGACAAGCGGGTGAAGGACCTTGACATCGACAATGTTGCAAGCCTTCGGATTCCTAGGTGAGGTGGAATACCTAGGTACCTAGGCACCTTGAGTCAAGGTAAGCTACTCCGTAGGGTGAGGTAGTTTCACTATCGATAAGACACGATAAGATAAGCACTCGATCCGCAATAAGGTACCTAAATAGGGAACAATCTATCTACCTAAGGTATCTTAGGTGAGGTAATTACGGTAAAGACCCGTACCTTCAAGGATATCTTTGCCTGACAACCTAAGTCACGGACAGCGCAAGGCAGCTTTTTGTCGCATAGTACGGACATCTGAAGGTAGCGCAAAGCATTGAGCTCAGCGAGGGCACTTGAGTTGCGGATGGTATCAGGGGAAAGAGTGCGGGCGAGCTTGTCCATCTAGGAAGGTTCTTGCGGTGTAGCGAATAGTCTTTGAGGATCGTCATTGCTCAGGTCTACAGTTGAAATTCGGGGCAACCGACAAGATGGATCTCTCGATGCTTGTCTCTCAGTGTGTGGATCATTCCTTACAGCCGCTCCCCGGTATAGAGTGCAGTGATCTACTATTGAGCGCAGCAGCACTTTCCATTAACCACCAGGGCGTATTTTCACGTAGCCTCCAGCGTGCGCTTGATGGATGCTGGGAAACAGACTGGCGGAAACTGGAAAGGTACCATACCTCCCCACCTACGGTTCTGTAAATGTACGGATACTCCGCAAGGAATCTTACCTTGACCAACATGACTGAGGGTAGAGTGACAAGCTAAACAAAGATGACTGCGAATACCTGTGTCAAGCAACTGTACGTAAGCGCGAGCCAACTCCCTCCCATCCTGCAATGAGGTATTGCAGGTTGTATAGCATCCATCCATACTGTGGTGGATGAAGAATCAGAAGCAATATGAGGTAGGGCAAGCTAGGATAGGAATGATAGTAATACACTCGGACGTGGCTTTGCATCAGTCTTGGTCCAAAGACTCAGGCTGCATCCGTACGGATACCGGTATTCTTGTCTTAGAATTAGACCTCTTCTGGTCACTCCTAAATGTCCATGGGGACCTGACTACTGCGTAGGGTAGTCCGTGCTGCTGTTGCTCGGCCTGGCCTAGACTCAGACCGTCCGCGAATCCTCCAATTACTTAACCGTGGGTGCATTTACGAATATCTAGGTAAGGTGCCAAGGTACCGTGCTACTTCACCTTCTTCTGTTCCTTGGCCAAGATAGGCCCAATCATATCACACTCTTGAGTTGGGACTAGCATTGGGCAACTGCTCCGAGTTCAGTACGGATACCCCATATCATTACCTATGTCCAGATACTGATCAGCGCAGCTTCGTGTCCAGGACTCCGGGGCCCGCCCTAGTATTGTGTACTAGAGTCGAACGTTGACCCAGTGTGTATTCGTAGCTCACGGTTGTCTCTGTCAGAGATCAGAGATTCTCAATCTACGGCGCATCGTGGAATTCTTGCCTGGTGTCGTCCGAATATCTGTAAGTTGTCGCATGGTTGCTTATTGTTCCCTTCCTGCCTTGGCTTGTCTCGCTTGAGGTACCTTAGGTAGGTGGTACCTCGAGGTACGGACTACCTAAGGTGCCTAGGTTCCTTAGGTACCGTCTAGTGAGGACCGGACGTTTGCCCGAGGTACCTACCTACCTTACCTTCCATGCTCAAGCCAGGGCAGTCAGGGCAACTTGGCAACCTTGCGCCCTGGCGAAGAAGACTCTGCGACAGTCCGACCAAATTAATCCGAGGTTCTCCAGCGCGGGGTCTGCATTCCTGTCCACGGCATCTGTCGTCATTTCTGATGGACATGATTTTGGGCAACTTGTTTCCGCCCTCCTCGGCCCAATTCTCCAGTGGATGGGATGTGAGGTAGATACTCGTATCCATAGATGCAGATAGTTAGACAGAGGTATTTTATAGATACGTGGTATCCGTACCTCGCCATTCGAATTTAGAGCACCTGCCATCCGACACTAATTTCCCAAGGTGCAGAACGACATGTGCCCCCTGACATCCGAGGCAAGGTAATGTGAGGTAGGTCGACATGGCACCACGGCAACAATGAGGTGGCTTGCCCCGTCAAACAAAGACACTGGAAAAGGAGATTTCATGTCGACCTTGCTCACAAATACTATACCTTAGCAACATGGAAATTTCAATTCAAACTACGCGTAATGCATGCCATGAGCAACAAAATGGTCGTGTCTACGGAGACTCCTACCTAGGTTATCGTAGACTACCTATCGGTGGCTTGGCTAGGTATCGCTGGGGTTTGCTAATTGAAAGCAAGAGGCATTCGCAAGTAAGGTAAGTACGGATACCTGAGCTGGAACCTGAAGGTAAAGGAACCTGAAGCCTGAAGGTAGTGGAAGGCCAGGTAAGGCAAGGCAGGTAACCGATAACCGCCGGGCAACCACAACTTGAAGTCTTGACCAACTTAAGGCAAGGTAAGGTACCAGAAGTTGTAAGCCGACTTTCCACCTTCTCAATCTTTCCCAATTCTTCTCCTCTCCTTCTATGGATAAGGTGTTGCTCTCCCCGCCCTTTCAAGGTCGTTCTCACTCTCATCCTTCGTTTGCGTGCAAACACACACAGACAGCACTCACGCCCGCTCACCCGCATCAGACGAGACTGAACGCCTGGCTTCCTTGCTTTGACTGGTGTGGATACCTCAGCTCTCAAATCATCCTTGCAGGGATTGTTCATTGCCGCTCACTCTTGAGTTCCATGAGTCTTGTTGCGCACACCTTCTCCCCTCCCCGCCTGCCACTACCGTACCAATACTCATCAACCATTTGTCGCTGTTTTCTCTCACTCTTTCACTCTCTCTGTGCGTCTGACCGCTCGTCTGCTTCGGTGCCTCATCCCCGACAAATTTCCACTTTCGCCTCAAGCGGTGCAGCGCTTGCCCTCCTCAGTACCACGACTCCTGACTCCCCCTCACTCTGAGGTCCTCCACTCCCCTCCAACCGTACGGATACCTTATTCTTGTGTGCAAGACTTGTTTGAAGTAGGCAGTGGAGTCGGTGATTCCCCAGCCCCCCCCCCCCCATACCTTCCTTACTCTGTACCCTCCCATCCCATCCCATCCCATCCTGATAGTGTCCTACCGTACCTGACCTCACTGTTCGGCCCACGTTCTGCCTCTTCCCCTCTCGTGTCGCCAGAGGAGCCGGAAACTGTGCCAGTGCCAGTGTCAGTGTCAGTGCCAGTTCACACAGCGAACCCTCGCAGTGTCACACCCCCGTTTCCTCTCTCCTGCAATGACAACAGCAATCCCGGCCACCACTGATCTGCCAGCACATCCTCCTCCCCAGGCTCCCCTTCCTCTGGCTCTCTCTCAATCTCAATCCCAATCTCATCCATCGACCGCGCACCGCTCCCTCTCCACCCGAACCCGGCCTCCTGTCTCCGCCTCTGGCTCTGGTCCTCCTTTACAGCGTGGCTCCTCCACCTCTAATCAACAACACAACCACCACCAGCGCCGTCACCAATACAGCGGGAGCCAGCAACTTCAACACCGCTCTCACTCTCGACAACCTTCCTCCACCTCCACCTCCACCTCCGCCACCATTCCTGCCGCTGTCGCTTCCGCTGGCTCAGCTGCTTCTCATTTCGCTCAAGACATTTTCCCACGACATGAGTATGAAACACCAGAAGTAGTTCTTCACTCCAAGCGAAACGCCCCAAGCCAACACCCGCCCTCATCGACCCGCGCCGACGCTTCGCGTCCCCAGCGTCACAGCAGTACCAGATCAAATCATCGATACAATCACGCTGCCGACATGCCCGCGAGCACTGCAGTTGCCAATAACGCTGGGCCTGCTCCTGTTAGCAATCATGGCGGGCCCGACCCCCGGAGTCCAGGCGCGCCCACCACCTCGAAGCATACGAGTAGATCACGCACCACAATACCAACCCCATCCGGAAAATGGATCTTGGGCAAAACAATCGGTGCTGGTAGCATGGGAAAGGTGAAGCTGGCCCGTAAAGAGGATACAGGCGAGCAGGTATGTTTCTCACCCCTCCCGTGGCCTACCTTGCCTCTCAATTCAAACGTGTCGTGCTTGCTAACCCACACTCCTACCCAATCGCAGGTCGCCTGCAAGATTATTCCCCGTGGCTCAACGGAAGACACACAACATCAGACACGAGCGGACAAGGAGAGAGCGGACCAGTCTAAGGAAATCAGGACCGCCCGAGAGGCAGCCATCGTCACGCTCTTGAGCCATCCCAACATCTGTGGTATGCGAGACGTTGTGCGCACCAACTACCATTGGTACATGCTCTGCGAGTACGTCAATGGCGGCCAGATGCTTGACTATATCATTTCCCATGGCAAGTTGAAGGAGAAGCAGGCCCGCAAGTTCAGCCGTCAAATCGCCAGCGCTCTCGACTACTGTCACCGGAACAGCATTGTCCACCGAGACCTCAAGATCGAAAATATTCTCATCAGTAAAAATGGAGACAT